TTTTTACCATTAACAAGTACTGAAAAATCACTATGATTCCTTGTACTAGTTACTCAGCTTATGGATTAGCACTGTAATTCACTAAAAAAAAAAAATTACTGTTAAAATGCAATTTGTTTCCCACCATAATCATGGTTAAAGTAACATTCTTAATACTTACTAGTTCTAAAGTATTCTTTCCGACAGCTCCTGCTGTCCTCAAGCTGCGTGGACCATGTTCAAATATAGCTCCATCTTCAGAAACGGTTGTATTTACCCAACCACCAGTGCGATGACTACTTTCAACAACAACCACCTGTCAGAATAAGTAATCGCACAGTGATTCTGTTGTCTTGTAAGCAGAGATGGATACGTGTGATTGAGATAGAGAATATCAACTTAATGAGAATTCATTTCCATAAACAATTATAGTGTAAACCTTACATTTCCACTGCCAGGAATATCATCAATTGATTTCTTGAGGGAACATGTTGGAACATACAGTGCACTTATTAAACTCAGTGCAAGTTTCTACATGACTCATTGAAACAATCTTTTATCAAAATATAATTGGGATGTGAACATCTTGATTGTCTTGACAGTGATTGCATTAAAATGACAGTAGCTGTAACTATTAATCTTTTTTCTCTGATTTTTATTTTTTAACAAAAACATTTCCTGTGTAATTGATATAAAATTTGTAATGGTGATCAGCAAAATATAAACACTGAAAGCATAGTATATATGCTATATATTAACGTTGTACATTAAATCACATGTAAGAGGGCGGCATCTATCCAGTTTTGTCAAGTGAACAAGATGACAAGAACCCTAGGCAAAATCATGTCATATACCTCTCTCTGACAACCTCTTACTGATGATTTTATGTGTTACTTCCCATAATAGTGTGGGTCATAATTTTCTATGACCGTTTTAAATGATGGCAAGTCCATGACCGTTAGTTTTCACATCACTAATCATGTGATGTATCATTGTGTATAATCCATGCAATTGTGTATAAAACAATATTTTGGTGACATTTTGTCATCTTTAATTGGTTATACATTGTATTTAACCGTGAAAATATTAAAAATCACAGTTATTATTGCATTAATCCTTCAAGCACCATTTTTGTTGTTGTTGAACATTTTAACAATTTCCAATATTGACAAGGAGAACATCTCCTGATCTGGAAGTTAATCTATCAAGGAAAAGAGCCACACTGGGGATATAGCTGGTTATATTCTGGAAATTGTACTACACTTAGTATTATGAACCCGGGTTATTTTATTTACTTCGGGAATATCCAGCGTCTGTGGGAATACCAGGGTGTATCATGTAGACATTCTGCGGTACACAAATTGGCTAGAACCTCGTCATCACATCATCATTGTGTTGAGCATGGATGTACATGTACATCTTAGTACATCCATGTGTTGAGGGACGGTGCTAAAAATAAGACACACCCCTCTTGAATTTTTCGCAAAGTACCTTCCCAAACCTGAGAGCCTGTGATCTCGCCAGGTAATATGCAGACGATAAACCACTAATTCCTCCTCCCAACACAACAGCCAACGCGGTCATTTTCGCTAAAAGTAGGCAGACAAGTTGAAAACACTCCAAACACGAACAACTGCAATGGGCGACGCCATTGTAGGAGAATAAAATAGACATGCGCGCTGACCCAGGAAGAACATTTTTTACTAGTATGACCTCGTTTGTTGATGTTTGAGCCCTGGTTTGAGGTGTGCGTGTTGTTCTTACGAATTTACGAATGTGTCGACTATATCTTTTGTGCTATACAAGATGTAAACACTACAAATAGTTCATGAATCTGTGCTGATTCTGGTAGGTGCAATTTAAGACACGATTATCGAACCATATTTCGTCATTTTGTGTCATTGTTTGACCTGTCCTTTGTTTTGTTTTTTAAATAGATGTCGATGATATGAGATGGGGTGTGTACAAACAAAAGACACTCGATACACGGCGGGTGAGAGGTCACAGGAAGGACATAAAGATGATGAAAGCGGCGACGCAGAGAAGATAAAAAGGACTGCTCTGGAAGGTAATTACTTTGCTGTGGGTTACTGCTACTATAGATTATACAAACAAACCTTTTAAATTCATTTATTTTAGAATATGTTGTTGTCTACAAATTTAGCTCCATACTATTAAATACTACTATACATTCATATATAATGTGTTCCCGATTTCTCCCCATGTTTAAATGGTATAACCCTAAAATTAATTACACTATTTTCAATGTACATTATTATATGTGAAATATAATTACATACCGATTAAATAAATTATTAACTACTCTCATAGATATTTATTGTAAATGTTTATAAATGAAGATTAAAATTCCAATGACATGTGATTATGATTCCCTGTTTGGGTGATTATTTATAGTGCCCTCTCTATGCATGAGGATGATTGCTGAGTGAATCATGAGGTCATTTCAAAAGTACTGCTGATCTGCACTGGCTCGGAAGATGAATTCTGATTGGCTAAAAAAACAAAAGACTTGTGGCGTTGAATGCACGTTCATTCTCAGTAATGTTATGCAAATTAGAAATTCAAACTAGCTAATCATTTACAACCTTCCGAGCCAGTGCAGATTAGCCCCAAAAGTATGTTCATCTGTTCAATGCACCAATTTACTTGTCGCTATCTGGTAGTCATGGTTACTTTTTTAGTAACCCTGAGTTTGTCGAATAGTTTTGAAGTGTCATTTATAAATATTTAAGAAAATAACCATAAAACCTCATCCATTTGTACTCTGAGCTTAGAGTAAATAAATAGCTAAATAAATATAATATGAAATAAATATCTAAACAAACCAGAAATCATCAGATTATGGAATTAAAGTGTGTTTTTTTTTTAGGATAACAAGTGATTAGCTTATGTGTGACATTTTTCTCTTGTCTGCTTCCTTATTGGTCATTATATAGATACAGCTTTTTGCATGCATGGTCATTAATATGTATTGTTCTAAGTCTTGATAGGGGTTTGAAAACCTTCAAAACAGAATTATTTGTTTGATCGTAATTAATTGTGATGCCTTTCAGAGGTCACATTAATTAGTGCAACAATATGCATTTAGGGCGTAATGTTTTTACCACATGTCCTTGTATCATAGAAATGCACACATTGACACACAAATTTACAACCTGCATATTAATCTTTTATTAAACGCATTCACAAGAAATAGACATGCTTACATCAGTATCATGAATTTGTATCATATTAAATAACTTGACATAAATATTAATTAATTCATTTCTAGATTTAGGACCAAATTGTCAAAAAAAAATTTTAGACACTATGATTAGCTGTTTTTATTTGTTTTTATTTTGTCCATATCATTGTAGATGACGGTCAAGGTATATGAGAGGAAAGTGAATGTTGTTGTTGTCGTTGACTTCATCCTAAAACTTTGGGGGTTACATAAACTCAAACAGCTTGTTTTTCCAGATTCAACTAAATTCAATTTTGTTATGTATTTTTTTCTACATATTGTGTAAATTTCACTCAAACCAGATGTTCGAATCGCGTCTTTCTTGCATAACGTGAAATCTCGCACTGAATGAAAAATCACTTATTAGATATTTGTAGTAGACCATTATGTAGTTTTCTTTCCGTTTTCAAATCATGCTAGTGTTAAATACAGTGACATTGTTTTATTTATTTTGTCAAATTTGTGTGCAAAAAGGTATTTTTAGTTCATGTTCACTTCCATGGGATGTGGAGATAAAATCTCCCTACCTAGTCATTTTGACTTTTTACACAGATTTATTTGACTGAACTGTTGCCAAATGGCAGCCACATGTCACTTTAGACAGGTGGTCCTTATATACAGGTTATCTGTACATGTAAATGCCCCCTCAAAAAAGGTCACTGTGGCAGGTGATAATTTTGAAGATGGTCACTATCACAGGTTTGACTACCGGTATATTAATTTTTTTTAAGATTACTTATAATCATACAAATCCAGCAGTGCATGATTAGCCGGGATCAGATCCAAGTCTATTACACAAAAATAACTAGCAAGAACACAAGAAAGTTTCAATCATGGATGTAGTTTGTAATATTATGTTTATCTGGTTCATAATTAACAAAAAATTATAGAAAAATACATGAAAGTGTGCAAAAGGTTGCAAACATTATGGTGTTCAAGGGAATCACATGAATAAGATGCATATTATTGATATTCTAATCAGTTCCTCTCTCTTGATTTATTCAGGTGACATTACAGCTGCCAGGGAAGAAAGTCATTATCTTCTGGAAATTGAACAATACCATGAAGCAATATCAATGCTCGATCAACGATTACAATTGGAAAGAGACCTCTATGGGAAAAAAAATGCAAATGAAAATGTGGCCATCACCCTTGGATATCTCGGTGAGGCGTGGTTCAAATTGGAAAACTATGGGAAGTCACAGTTGTACCTCTATGAAGCTCTAAATATGTGGAAGGAAATGTATTCCAATTATGCAGCATACAATAATGAAGACTTGGCTAAACTGTTAACAAACTTGGCCAATGTTTGCGAGAAAAACAAAGACTTCCCAAGTGCAGTGAAATATCATGAGCAAGCATTAAGAATGAAGAAAGCAATAGAAGCTGGTATGGCGCTCCCTATTGGGCTGGCATGTAATGCTGTTGGTGATGGAGCGGGAAGTTCTGGTTCAAAACTAAATTCATTGAGAAGGTCTTAGCACTATCTGTGTGTAATCAGTTTGTTCTATTAAGTAGTTCTCCACAGAACACCTTGACCTTGATTTGCAAATTGTTGCAAGTAGATTGTGAAGTTTTAGAACAGTGATCGTTATAATTTTGCTCTTCTAGACTCTGTGGCTTTCACAAAATTTCATTCAGACAAATGCCCGCAAACTAATTAGCTAACTAATATACCGCCCTCTGTAGGTGAACTGTTTGAAGTAGTTTCTAAGCTGACAAAATATGCAAATAAACAGTCTTTGCTCTGCTGTGGTATTTCTATGGTAATTACAAGTAATATTTTATTGATTCAGTGTAAAATAAATGTTAATTTTTATTAATATATGCTTTCATCGGTGATGCGCTTCTGATAGAGCAAATACGGTATGTGATGAGCTCAGCCAACCATCAATGCACAAAAAGTAAACCCAGAGATGAAAACTACAAAGTTGACAATTACCTGTTTTGGTTTATGTACCACTTTGCTATTTGCTTATTGCCAGCATTACTTCAAATGAACACCATATTATGAATAGAATGACAATTTCTTATGTTAATGATCATTGATAATCATTTGAAATTGAAAATTGACCTTCAAAGGTCACACATCCTGGTTGATTTGTTACTATGAAAATCAAAAATAAATTTATTTTATTGATATTTCAGCACAAAAGAACCAATAATTTCGTTCACATGTACTCCTATAAGGGATGTGCTTCTAATAGAGCAAATACAGTACTGATTTAAAATTTTGGCTGAGAAGTAAAATTAGCCAAATTAAATCCAAGTGAGCATGTAAAATAACAATAGAACTTTTATTTTATCTGCCAAATTCATGAACTTGCACAAAATGGAGATGTGCATCTAGTAGATTAAATCAGAGGTACATTACTTGGGGTTTGTAACTACGGTGACATGATACCAAGATCCCGTCACAATCTCGCTCTCGCATAAACGTTCCAACTCAGAAAAAATGCGAATGCGCATGCCCGAGGTAACTAGGATACTGGGATGTCCAGGTGGATCAAAATAGCTGCCCACGATATGACGGATTACGAGAACTACTAGTATATTTTCTGTACATTTTCGATGTATTACATTTTTCACTATGATAGTGACAAGAAAAGTTTATTTTTTTCATTACAAACCTTGAACATTGATATGCGTCATGTCAGAAGGTCGTAGCCTCAGTCTCGCTATCTACGAGAAGAGACTTGAATGGGATCTTGACATGATGTCACCATACAGTACTATGCGAGTTGCAAACCCCAAGTAATGTACCTCTGATTAAATACACTACATGTGTCACTATTGGAAATGTTATTCTAATAGAGCAAATACAGTACCGGTACACCACTATTGGTGATGTACTTCCTACTTGAATTGAGCGATTACAGTAGTGCGTTATTATTTACTAATCCATATGTGGCTCAAGAAAACACATTTTTTAATATTCACTAATTAGATTTCAACTGATGGACTTGTCATGTGTTCTACATTATCCTGTTATCAATGTGTAATTTTTATAAACTACTGTAAAATTATTTGAAAGAAATTTAGCTAACTTTACCCTGTCCTTGATGTACTGGTACCTACACCCATATGTAGTACAACCATATTGACACATTAGAAATATCGTAACTAAATTAGGATATTTGCTAAAATAATGTGTTTCACCTTTATAGCATTATTAAGGGGGGGGGCAAGGGTTATTTTCGTTCAACGTAATTGCAATATTTTTTTGTTCGTACAACGTATATTGAAAAATTAAATTTCGTAATTCTGTAATCACAGGCTAGACGTACAACATAATCAATCTAATATTTTTTTCGGACACTGTAAAAATGTGTCATTTTTCTCGGTACGTACAAGAATTTACATCCAAATAAAAAAGTTGTAAAGAATAATCCAGGGAAATTACATTTTCGAAACGACTAGATGACACAATTCACTGCAAAATTAAATTATCACTGTAAAAACTTCTTTTTTTTCCTTGTAATTTGTAAAAAGCCCTTTTTATTTCCCGTAAAACTGTACCAGCTACCCCCCTTGCCCACCCTCTTTATTCATGTGATAAATTATGGTGGAAATAAAATATTAATACATTAGTTATCTCTGATTCTCAGGAACAAATTCAAGTTAACTAGACATATATAAGTACTACCGATATAATCTAAATTTAAGACTTTATTAAGTCTTGATCTTCCTGACATGTTTCTGTAAAAAGTATGAGTGTCCACCCACATGCTGTTTGTATGTGTAAGCGTGTGAACAAATCTTTTATCTTGATATCTCCAGAATTCCCAAATGATTCGAAAATATTTTATTATAACATTACAGATACACAATTATTTGTCAGTTGCATTCTGTATTTTTTTAGTCCCCGTTCGGACGTAGTCCGAAAATGGGGACTTATGGTTTGCCCTGTGTGCGTCCGTCCGTCCGTCCGTCCGTCCGTGATCACCTGTATCTCGGACATGCATGGACCGATTAAGTTCAAACTTCACTCATACATCACACATTATATGGGACATATGCACATGCATTTTTTTCATGATCCGATTAACGATAGCCGAATAGCGGCCATTTTAAGGCCGAAAATGCATCAAAATCGCACATTTTCACCATTCCGGACCCGGATCTCAGTTATGCATGGACGGATTTTGTTCAAACTTGGTACATACATTAAACATAATAGGAACTTGATGCACGTCATTTTTTTGGGGGGATCGGGTTTGAAATGGCCGACTGGCGGCCATTTTGTTT